ATACATTTTATTAATTCGTTTATTCATTTTCAGTAACTACTTTATCCTGGTCAGGTTTGTGGTGGATCCAGAGCTGATCCCGGGAACAATATACATGAGGAGAGAATACACCCTGGATGGGACAGCAGTCAATGCCAATGCACCATGCACACACATTAATGCACACATTCACACCTAGGGGGCAATTTGGAGTAGCCAGATCTCCTACCTGTATCACACTGTGGGTGGGAACTGGCAAATGACCAAATTGGGAGAAAACTGGTTTTAAAAACAATGAGTTACTCAGCAGTTACTCACTCAACTCAAAACAAATCAAAACAAAATCCTTATCATTTAAGAAAACGATGAGTTAACGATATACATAACTATGCTATACAAGTTATATCTTCATTTGGATCCGAAAAACAATGGTATTCCCTTTTTTCTTCTTCTGCATGCCTTATAGACTCATTCAAGATTATTGCCAATCGCAATATCTTTTTCTTACTTCTAGCAATGCCTATCGTCTATATATCTGTCTGTCTTTCTGTCTTAGCTAGCAATCAAGGGCCTGAAAGAACCCACTTTGTGAGTTCACAAAGTATCAGTGTATCCATTATAATCATAATATAAGTTATATTAGCCATTTTGTGATTAGACAAAAGGTAGAGTAGGTGGACAGGCGATGACAAAATCTCTTAAATTCTAGTTATAATTATAATATAATTATAATAATTGCAATTATAATAGGCAATATTAACAGCATTTTAGCAGTGAACAGTGTTAATAATACTGTAGTAGTGAAGATGGAAAAGTTTACTTGTTCTACAAATTAGCTAGTAGCTGTTAATACTCTACTTATGCTAGCAGAACCACTAATATTTTATACATTTATGCTTTAGGATTAATGGCTAGATCAGCCCATGGTTCTATTATGTGTCTATTAGTGTAATGATAAACTAAATGGCAAAAAATAAATATGTGGACACAATTGTCTAGAAAGTCTTTATACGTTTTAAGTTTAAAATGTTCCTTCACTGGAACTCACTGGGCCCAAACTTGTTCCAGCATAACAATGCCCATGTGCATAGGACATCGTTTGCCAAGTTTGGAGTAAACTCAATCAGCCTGCACAGAGCCCTAACCTCAACCCCACTAAACACCTTTGGGATGAACTGGAACGCTGACTGCATGCCAGGTCATCTTGCCCAAAATCAGTACTCAGCCTCACTAGTGCTCTTGTGGATGAATAAGCTGAAATTCTCACATCCATGCGCCAAAATCTAATTGAAAGCCTTCCCAGAAAAGTGGAGGTTGTTATAGCAGCAAAGAGGTGACCAATGGGCTGCACATATTGGTGTGATAGTCAAGTGTCCACATACTTTTGGCTATATATATTGTATACATCTGGAATTTGATCCTCTGGACAGTCAGTAGGTTCATTTGTTCATTTAATCGGAGAAACAGAAATCATCTGAATATTAAACATCACTAAACGTGTTAATTGGCTGTTACAACGACTTTAAGACTCGTTGTATTTATCACTGATGCCAAACAACTAATAATCACATTAACCTCTATTATATTCCAGGCTTTGTTTTCCCAGAGGCGGGAATCAGGCTCAGGGTTATGGGTTGTTCTGATCTGTTGGATTTTGGACATGTGAATAAATCAGTTATAAAATGTACACAAATTGTGTGTAATGATGTGTGATATGATATATGATCAGGATGATTACAGTTATTATGACGCTGATGATAGTGACAGTGATACTGATGACAGCGATGACAAGAATATTCAACAGGAATTCAAGGCAGTGCTGCCCCCATTTCCTTCTTTCTTTCTTTGCCTCACTTTAGTTCTTTCTCTCACTCAGGTATTTGCCATTCTGTGAGGAGCAGGTGCTATAGAGGGGGTCAATGCGCTGATTCAATCTCCTCCCGAGAGTGAGAGAGTCTTAGAGGCTGAGAGACAATATGAGTGTGAGAAGTGTAGTAGGAAGTGTAAATGAAAAGAGAAGATGAGTGAACGTGAGAGGGAGAGAGAGAGAGAGAGAGAGAGAGCAAGGGAGAGTGAGCTTATTAGTATATTTGAGCGTGTAGGCGGTATTCCTGTCATCTGGACTGTTTTTCAGTGCTATAGTCGTCCCTGCGGACTGTCAGCGGGGCGAGAGACCGAGCTGTCTGTGGGATTGTAGGGATTCTTTCTATGTTTGTAACGTATAGCTCACACATAGAATGAAACGGCTGTTTTCTGTTCTCACCTATAGTCTGTCTGGCCTGATATACAGTTCTAAAGAGTAGCCACAGTCATATGTTGTGAGGATAAATGATCACAATGTGTGCAGGCAGCGTGTCTCAGACACATACACACACACACACACACACACAAAAGTGAAGATCATTTGAGATCATGCAGTAGCTGTTCATTGCCATGTCATTCGCATACTGAAGCTCAAGAGCCATGTGAGGGATGAATAAGCTCAGCTTCTTCTCCGAAATTCTCTCAAGAACAGTCATGCATTTAGAACACACACTTTTTCCTGTTGAGTGGTGATGGGAGATGAAAGTGTTGTGTGAGTATGATGGTGATGGGTAGGGGAAGCAGGCCTTGCTGTGTGTGCTGTGTGAACAGGCTGTATTTCCATATAAATCAATGCAGCTTTCGCTTCACACCTTCTCCAAGGGAGAGAAACACAAACACACACACACACACACCTAGTCCTATCTTTTTCATATACATACATACATACATACATATATATAATGAGAGGCTGGTTTGACACAAGATCACACACTCCACACATACACTCACTGACCACTTTAATACGAACACCTGTACACCAGAAATTCCAATCAGTTCATCATGTGGCAACAGCACAATATGTAAAGTCATGCAGATAGAGGTCAAGTGCTTCAGCTAATATTCCCACCAAACACTGTGAAAAATGTGATCTCAATGACTTTGACTGTGTCATGGTGGTTGGTTGGTGCTTTGGAAATTTCAGCACCTTCTGATCTCCTGAGATTTTCATGCACAACAAACTCTATAGCTCACACAGTATGGCACGAATAAACCTAGTTCGGTTCTGTGAGTGGAAATGCCTTGTTGATGAGAGAGGTCAGAGAAGAATTGCCAGACTGGATCGTGCAGGCAGGAAGGCTATGTTAATTCAAATAACCACTCTTTACAACCACAGTGAGCAGAATGCACGGAACGGGAAATTTTTAGGCAGATACACTACAATAGCAGAAGACCACATCAGGTTCTACTCCTGTAAGCTAAGAAGAAGAATCTGAGGCTACAGTGAGCACAGGCTCACCCACACCTGACAGTTAGAAATTGGAAAAACATTGCCTGGTCTTTTTCAGCGAGTCTGTGCACACTGCATGAATGAGCATGTGTACAGGTGTTCTTAATAAAGTGGTCAGTGAGTGTATATTCAGTATTATATTCAATTGCATAGACTTGGGCTCTCTATTTTCCTAAGAGACCACACAGACAGCCATGGTATGATACACACAATAAAGTAGAGGACACACAAAAAAAACATCCATTAAAGTTAAAAATCCATAGTTCTACCTCTACCTCAGTGGGGTGTTTTTTTTTTTCAACAACAACAAAAAAAAAGATGGCTGGGGAGAAAGATGTGAGATAACCATTGACATTGCAGAATGAACTGAAAATACCAGATGCTGGCCTAGCTGGCATTTTCCATTATTCGGACTGATAAAAAGAGAGCTGAAAAAGGATTACGAGATGAGACATTTCATTAAACAGTTACTGGCCAAGATGGAGGGAATGAGGAAATGAAATCAAACAACACATCATTCCTCTCCACCATTGTTTGTGCCCTGTGTCTTTCTGTAAGGCCAATGTCCATTTTGGCTTCAGTAAGGCGGCCGGGAGAAACAGCAGGAGAAAAAGAGGGAACGATTTATATCAGAGCCCCACTGTTCGTTAGGATTCTCCATCATTGCCACGGTGACTGGTTACCTGGCAACAAAATACACAATGGCACAGTAACCTTGGTGATGGCGTGGCCGTCTGTCTGGGAGGAGAAAGACGCCAAGACAGACGGTGTGTGTGTGTGTGTGAGAGAACAATAGTGCTCGCCAAGACCAATGATTCTTATCTGCAACAGGTGTGTGTGTGTGTGTGTGTGTGTTTGGTTGTGTTGCTACAGTATTGTGTTGCTGTGTACGTGTTCATACATATCTCGGTGTGTTTCACAGTGTGAAAGATGAAAGTGTTATCTGTGGTAATTACAGACTGGATAGCGAGAGTATGTCAGCACTGTCATGCCATTAAACTCTCAAATTATTGGCACACGGACGTGTACACACAGTGCACACACTCAGTAACCACGCGATTTTTAGCAGACCTTCTTCTTAGGTTCAAATAAACCAGTCACTCCCAGATAAAGTGTATATCCTGCCAGCTTCACATTTCAGACACTCACAACTGATCAAATCTTACCCAAATCATGTCATTTTCCCCACAAACATCAGATACGCACATGAAAAAAAAACTGCTGAAAGATACAGACCTAGGAATAACAAGTGAAACTGTAAATGCTACCGTATCCTACGTTCACACTAGCAAGTGACAAGTCACTTGTGTCTCTTGCAGTTTGTATCTTGTGTGTGTGAGCTTTTGGTTGTGCAACATTGTTTCTTTGCTTCAATGCGAAACAGCCAAAATGAAAATTATTCTAAGGCTAACTAATTAAACACTAGTTTAAGCATGTTTGCCTCGCACCTCCAGGGTTGGGCGTTCGATTCCCGTCTCTGCAATGTGTGTGCAGAGTTTGTATGTTCTCTCCATGCTTTGGGGGTTTCCTCCAGGTACTCACAGTTTTCTCCCCCTTTCCAAAGACATGCAGTGTAGTCTGATTGATTGGCATCTCTAAATTGTCCGTATTGAGTGTGAATGTGTGTGCAATTTGCCCTGGAATGGGTTGGCACCCCTTGGGGAACCTTGTACCCCAAGTTTCCGGGGATAGCCTCCAGGCTCCGTGTGACCTTGTGTAGCTCAGCGGTTAAGATGTTGTACTTCTGATTGGAAGGTCTTGAGTTCAAATCCCAGCACTGCCAAGCTGCCACTGAGCAAGGCCTTTAACCATCAACTGCTCAGTTGTATAATGTAATGTATAAGCATTATGGAAAATGGATGGATGTACTTGTTGTGTTCTAGATTACCAAAGCAAAGAACTGTACTGGGCGGCTGTATCTCAGGTGGTAGAGCAAGTTGTCCACTAATCGTAGGGTTAGAGGTTTGTTGCCCGGCCCACATGACTCATACCGAAGTGTCCTTGGGCAAGACACTGAACCCCAAGTTGCTCCTGATGGCAGGTTAGCACCTTGCATACCTGCATGAGAACCTGTTTAAAGTGCTTTGGATAAAAGTGCTATATACAGTGCATCCGGAAAGTATTCACAGCGCTTCATTTTTTCCACATTTTGTTATGTTACAGCTTTATTCCAAAATGGATTAAATTCATTATTATCCTCAAAATTCTACAAACAATACCCCATAATGACAACATGAAAGAACATTGTTTGAAATCTTTGCAAATTTATTTCAAATAAAAAACAAAAAAAAGCGCATGTACATAAGTATTCACAGCCTTTGCCATGACACTCAAAATTGAGCTCAGGTGCATCCTGTTTCCACTGATCATCCTTGAGATGTTTCTACAACTTGATTGGAGTCCACCTGTGGTAAATTCAGTTGATTATACATGATTTGGAAAGGCACACACCTGTCTATATAAGGACTAAAAGTTAACAATGCATGACAGAGCACAAACCAAGTCCAAGGAATTTTCTGTAGACCTCAGAGACAGGATTGTATCGAGGCACAGATCTTGGGAAGGGTACAGAAACATTTCTGAAGCATTGAAGGTCCTAATGAGCACAGTGGCCTCCATCATCTGTAAATTGAAGAAGTCTGGAACCAGCAGGACTCTTACAAGAGCTGACCCCCCGGTCAAACTGAGCGATCGGGGGAGAAGGACCTTAGTCAGGGAGGTGACCAAAAACCCGATGGTCACTCTGACAGAGCTCCAGCATGTCTCTGTGGAGAGAGGAGAAGCTTCCAGAAGAACAACCATCTCTGCATAACTCCACCAATCAGGCCTGTATTTTAGAGTGGCCAGATGGAAGCCACTCCTCAGTAAAAGGCACATGACAGCCCGCCTGGAGTTTGCCAAAAGGCACCCAAAGGACTCTCAGACCAAAGATTGAACAAAGATAGAACACTTTGGCCTGAATGGCAAGCATCATGTCTGGAGGAAACCAGGCACCACTCATCACCTGGCCAATAACATCCCTACAGTGAAGCATGGTGGTGGCAGCATCATGCTGTGTGGATGTTTTTCAGTAGCATGAACTGGGAGACTAGTCAGGATTTAGGAAAAGATGAATGCAGCAATGTACAGAGACATTCTTGATGAAAACCTGCTCCAGAGCGCTCTGGACCTCAGATTGGGGTGAAGGTTTATCTTCCAACAGGACAACGACTCTAAGCACACACCCAAGATAACAAAGGAGTGCTACAGGACAATGCTGTGAAAGTCCTTGAGTGTCCCATTCAGAGCCCAGACTTGAACCTGATTGAACATCTCTGGAGAGATCTGAAAATGGCTGTACAAGGTGCTCCCCATACAACCTGATGGAGCTTGAGAAATCCTTTAAAGAAGAATGGGAGAAACTGCCCAAAAATAGTTGTGCCAAGCTTGTAGCATCATTCTCAAAAAAACTTGAGGCTGTAATTGGTGCCATAGGTGCTGAAACAAAGTATTGAGCAAAGGCTGTGAATACTTATGTACGTGTTTTTTATTTTTTAATAAATTTGCAAAGATTTCAAACAAACTTCTTTCACATTGTCATTATGGGGTATTGTTTGTAGAATTTTGTTGAAAATAATTAATTGAATCCATTTTGGAATAAGGCTGTAATATAACAAAATGTGGGAAAAGTGAAGCACTGTGAATACTTTCCGGATGCAGTGCAGACCACTTACCATTTATCATGTACTAGAGATACCAACGATTTCTGCAACCTCCTGCAGAGCTTTATTTGTCTTTGCTATGTCTCTATACGCATTAAATAACAAGTTGTATATGACCGTTTCTCTTAGGTTTTTGCATGTCAAACAAGGGACTGATTGTAGGTAGGAGCTAAAGTAATGAAACTGAGTGGGAAACTGAAGAAATGTCGGACCACATGGGCCACTACGATAGATCTGAGGATTTGTTTGTGCCATTGGTTTGGATTTATAATTTTACCAAGTCACCATTTATTTACATTCAGTTGAGAACATCACAATTGACATGTTTCTTGTTGCACTGTTTCTTTGCTACTTGCTGCTGTTGCTGAAATCCCAGCTCCATGTGAACGTAGGGTTATACAGTACTAAGGAAGGATGCACCGATCTGATAAATTGTGTTATTGGACCATAATGCAGAATACAGAATAGATTTGGGTCTAAAATGAAGGCATTTGGGTAAATCAATGTAGATGTATTAATCTTTGAGGAGATGCACAGTCAAAAACGTTTTTATTCATCTTTGGGGTCTTGTTAGGTACGGGAGTTTTAGGCAGAAAAAAATATTAGCATGCAGCAGGCAGAGGTTCAGGAGGTGGAGAGCTGATATCTATCAGCGCTGGATTTACTGCCTTGTGCTCATGTGGTCAATCTAATGGGAGGTCAGCAAAGGCAAAAAGCTCAGCAAACACTTGTTTCCCTCTTTAATTCCTTGCCTTCACAGCTTATTTCTTACTTTCTCGTTCCTTTTTCTTCCTTTCCTGCTGCTATGAATTTCTTGCTCAATCCTCTATTTTCTGTCGCCTTTCAGCTGTCCGTCTTATTTGATTGCATTTCCTCGACACCCTAAGCGTGCAATGATTAGCAATAATGGCTACCTGTGACTGTATGAATCATAATTCATAATTCCAATCAGAAATGACATGAACAGGCCAGAGTCTCTCTCTCTCTCTCTCTCTCTCTCTCTTTTCAGTGAAATCAGTGCAGGTGGGAAATAAAAGAGAAATTATTCTCATAAAGCCCGTCAGTCAAGCCATCAAATCACATAGGAACAACTTCTTGCTAAGTTATTAGCGTGGAACCCAAACAGATTGCAGCTGTGGTATTTGGTGCCAGTGCAGTGTAGTGTATAAACTGCCTTTTATTTCGATAAATGCATTCATAGGAAGGATATTTGAACTGTGCTGTAACACAGAATCTGATGAAACATTGTGTTTCGGACGTCCTGATATACGTTTCTAATTCATTCTTACACAGGGATGGGGGAAACAATTACTTTGAAACACGATACAAAATACAAGAAATGTACAAGGTGTATAAAATGTTGAAAAAACATACAACAATGAAAGTATTTTGAAGATTCAGCCATACTTTTTGTAATGTGGTACGAGATCTAATTCTGGTAGATAATGGATAATGCTAGTTATCCTTCAGATACCTAGCACTAAATCAGTGCCAGCCTTTTTGTTATTATATTGCTTCTTTGGTTTGTAAAATATTATTGCATTACCACTATCTGCATCTGTTTAGCGCTCCAAACATCTGTATATGTACTGTATATGTATTCAGATAAAAAGTGGCTGTGGCCTAAACCAGATGAGGCTTTTTTGTTCTTTTTTGTTTTTCTTTCTGGAAATAAAGTTTGTATCTGCCTGCAATATTTTTCAACATATTTAACTGTTTCTATTTCCCAAATTATAAACAAACTAACAGCTTAATTTAACCCACCATGACCTGACCTTGCTCGTCCATAGGGGCCGGTGCAGCAGAGCCCACTGTTTAAATCAGCGTTTTTACAAACGTCCAAAAGTCCTCATTCATGTCTCCATACATTTAAAACACATTAAAATACTAATTACCTCAGATTTTTTACCTCAGAATTTCAAGTCCATATTTGACAGATGTAAGCTGATGTTTTGCTGATTTGCTCACTTTTCTGGCTGTTGTGCAATTGAGGGACTGTGTACTCAATGCCCCACTTAGTTCCCATAGAGTTATTGTTGCACCTAGTGGTCATAACAGGGAACTGTAACAAGTGCTAATAAAGATCCATTGGTCGCTTTTCAAAGACAGTAAAGCGGCAAAGACAGTTAATGACCAGATGTCAGATTGGGCTAGTTTAAAAATATTCTTGTTTTATAGTAGAAATTAAATCTAATAAGAAAGTGTAAGAGGAGTAAGCGGTAGAAGATGGATGGATGGATGGATGGAAAAAAGTGTAAGTGTGGACAATGTGTCTATGACACACAGAACCATTTCTGTTGTAAGAAAAATTGCATAGAAAGGGAGATTATACGTATGTCAGAAATACAAATGTTTCACACACTGAGAGGCTGCGAAAAATAAGAACATTTCTCACATTTCCAACGTGTGGGTTTTGAGATGTAGATGCTGGAATGATGTAAATGCATCACTGTAAACATATTCTTGATGTAGGTGAATGTGATATTTCTTTGTCTCACGAGCTTTGTATGTGACTGCAACATGAGGGAAAAAATCTCCCATTTGCCACTGGGATCTCACACCTAGCAAAAAAATAAAGTCATGCAAGACGTACCACCCGTGTGACCTGTTAGCCTTTCGTCAAGCATTCTAAACTAATAACAACAACAACAACAACAACAACAATAATAATAATAATAATAATAATAATAATAATACAAGCCTCCACACTGTGTCCGTGGAGTTTGCATGGTCTCCCTCTGTTTTGGGCGTTTCCTCCGGGTACTCCAGTTTCCTCCCCCAGTCCACACACATGCATTGTAGGCTGATCGGCATTTCCAATTTGTCCGTAGTGTATGAATGTGTGTGATTGTGCCCTGTGATGAGTTGGCACCCTATCCAGTGTCCCCCAGCCTTGTGCCCCAATTTCCCTGGGATAGGCGCCAGGCTCCCACATTACCCTATGTATGCAGTATGGAAAATGGATGGATGGCTGGATAATGATAATAATTATGTCACGTAATGGAGGCTGAGACGGAAGCAAGTGCTGGTAAGGCAGTTTAATTAGAAGACAAATCCACAGGGTAAGGCAGAAATAAATAAC